AACCCTACACCCTAAACCCCAAGAAGCTTCCTTTGGCCTTCGCTTTGTTCGTTGCCGCTACGGGCTCAGCGTAGCACCCGCGAGGAAGGGAATGCTGTCGTTAACCATATTTAGGGTTTAGGGTTTAGGGTTTAGGGTTTAAGAGCTTGAACTCAGGGTGTAGGGTTTATGTTGAGGGCCGTGGGTGTGGACCCGGTGGTTGGTTAGGGTTTATGGCTGGGGGTCTAAGGTTTCGGATTTCAGGTTTGGTGGGCTTAAAATCAAAATATTAATGGGAATTGGTTGAAACTGGGTCTTAAAAACATGTTTATCGACTTGGCCACAGTGCTCCTTTCGCACGTACCCGTTTACAAGCAAACCCCCACACCCCCAAACGCTCCAGTGAGTCAGGCTCTTGGCGTGACTTCAGGGTTCTTCGTAGTAGACGCAGCTCTCAACCTGGTTGTTGATAGCACAAAGGAGCCCTAGATGACATGACCATGACCAGATGTGGCCTCTAAATGCAGCCAGGATGCCATGGCCTTAAAGGCGTTGTCCCAAGGCTTTCTGTTGGCCTTTCTTCTCCGACCCACTCGCCTCGTGGGGCTTTCTGAGGAGCTTGCGTTGGGAGTTGTAGGTGGCTGGACAGCCTACAGTGAGCCGGAGGAGTTGGTCGCCGTCATTGCAGCCTTCTTGGATTACCAAAAGGGTTTCGATGCAGCTTTGCAGCTACGGCTCGGCCCGCCAATCATAGAGATCCCTGGAGGCATCCATGAAAATGCCTCCATCGAGCTGCGCATCGGAACCACGCATCTGCAACCGGATGTCGGCCTTGCCTCGGCGCTAGACATGATGTTAGGTCTCGATGGAGCACTACCGGTCGTTGGGCTGGTAGGGGCGCAGCTGTCCTCCGTTAGCATGCCCATCGCCACGCTGGGAGGCGTGAGGGGAGTCCCTCAGGTGTCCATGTCCTCCACGAACCAGGACTTGTCCAACAAGGACTCCTTCCCTTACTTCTTACGCACCATCCCGCCGGATAGTATCCAGGCTGCTGCTTTGTGGACATGGGTCTTACACTTCGACATTGCGCTGGCGACCTGCCTCTATTCCGCAGAAGTCTACGGACAAGGTGGGAGCTAAAATCAACAGTGGGGTCCAAAGCACCCCCCACCACTTTTCAGGAACCCGTGTAACAACTTTGTAACCCTTAAAACCCTAAACCCTAAACCCTAAGCCCTAAACCCTAAACCCGTAAAGCCCTCAAAGGAAACCTGTAGCGAGGTAAACTAGGGGTCGATCAACACCTGGTACTGATATTCCGAGTTAGTCCCTGTACAACTACAGCTGACTAAGAGCCCTAGACCCTAACCCCAAATCCTATGTTACCCTACTGTTAAGGCGCTAAACCCTAAACCCTAAACCCTAAACCCTAAACCCTAAACCCTAAACCCTAAACCCTAAACCCTAAACCCGAAACCCTAAACCCTAAACCCTCAAGCCAAAACCTCTCAGCCCTCAGGGCTATTCACGGAGATCCAGGACCTCGCGCGAAGCAGTGGCCAACCAGACCGCATGCAGGGAAAAGGTTGGTTCCTGAGAACCCAGAGACTCCAATACCCCTTAATTAAGGAATATACCTTAAAAATATGGTAGGATCCCTAATAGGATTTAAGGTATATTCCCTAATTAAGGGGTATTGGAGTCTTTGGGAAGGTTAGATTAGGGTTTTGGGTTTTGGGGTTTAGGGCTTTGGGGTTTAGGGTTTAGGGTTTAGGGTTTGGGGTTTAGGGTTCAGGGTTTTGGATTTTGGGGTTTTGGGTTTAGGGTTTAGGGTTTGGGGTTTAGGGTTTAGGGTTTTGGGTTTTGGGTTTGGGGTTTGGGGTTTGGGGTTTAGGGTTTAGGGTTTGGGGTGAGGAGTTTAGATTTATGCGGGGCTTAGTTGTAGTCGCTAGGGATTTCTATATGGGGTTTATGTAAGTTGTCATGGAAGTAGGGTTAATATGCGTAAATATTGGTATATAGAAGACGCGGTTTACGTTACCATAGAGTAATTACTCGTCTCCCCTCTTCTCCTCACTTACATGAAGTTCCTTATTACGCAGACCTCGGAAGGTCTGCGACACATGCCATCGGAATTCGCCACTGAAGAAGCTCGGGCTGTTCTCAGAGACGTCAAGATGATGGGCTCTCGTTTTCTGATCATAACGATGGATGGGGCAATGATTCCTGGCATGCTCTCCCTCTTGCATGAAGAAGGAATATTCGGGCCAGGGTGGCAGGCTGTCGGCTCTGACAATTTCTATGCGTACCAGGGGCTCAACCTTCCAGTGGGCTTCATGATGTGCATGGCTGCAACCAGGGGTCCAAAGTTCCCGGAACTGCTCAAGATGTGGTCTCGTCTCGGTCCAGATGACATCGTGGGAGCAGACGCAGTGCAACGATATTCTCTAGACCGCATGAGAATGCCACTTGACAGGGAAGACTTGGTGAACCTGATGTCACACGGAGCTCCTGGAATACCCAGCGGGTGGTCTGCGCTAGCTTTCGATGCCGTATACACCTTCCTTGTTGCCATCAACCAGCTACTGCACAAAGGGGTGCCTCGCAGTGAGATCCGTGGGGAAGTGCTGCTGCAAGAGTTGCGCAGGACAAGCTTCACGGGCATTTCGGGGTCTGTGAGTTTCAACGAGAATGGAGATAGACTGGGAGCCTATGAACTACTGAACGTCGTGCAGGGAGATCCTCGCGAAACTGTCAGGGTGGCGGTGTTCAGCGCTTCTACATCGGAGTTCTTCTTCGAGAAGTCCCTGGTGTGGATGGATGGTTCCACGGGGGCTACACCCCCGGATCCTTTGTCATAGTTGGGTAACATTTTACATGTTTAAGGGTACTTAAGCCCAATAAGGAATATAAATTCAAATTTTTAATACTACCCCAACCATGAACAAGGATCGTCTTTACTCTTGTGACCCTGGCTTTTACAAGGAGGAGCAGTCCAAACAGTGCAGCTTGCCATGCCTTTTGGAGCCTTTTGTATACTCATCTGCTCGGAGTTGAAGAAGATCTTGCTTTAGGCTTTAGGGTACTAAACCCTAAACCCTAAACCCTAAACCCTAAACCCTAAACCCCAAACCCTAAACCCTAAACCCTAAACCCCAAACCCTAAACCCTAAACCCTAACTATGTTTCAGAGGCTGGAGTGGGCCAGCCTAGGTAGGGCATGCCCCAAAGGCATGAAATGCCTAGGGGGCTTCAATGCCACGTCGACCGCCTGTCCCCGGGGTACTTTTGCCAGAGACACAGGCCCGCACGTCTGCAAGATGTAGACTACCAGCTGTATCATGTATACATCCACATAAATCCCTAAAAGCCAGCTACGGACCCTACACGAAACCTGCCGTAACCCTCTATGAGCTAAAATGCACTCTGCACCCTCAGCCGCAGGCCAATCTGCGTGTGTTCCATGCGCCAAAGGATTCTTTGCCCCGGACACAGGTGGGAGTTTCCGGAGCCTGATATCATACGTTAAGGTCCCAGCATTTTAACCCCTGATTTGAGGTTCCGGGTTTCGCCCTGAGGGGTGTAGGATTTAGGGCAAAACTTGGGATGTTGAAGTCAAAACGGCCTGACGAACATATTCTATAGAGTTTGCTAGCGAGCCCTTCTGTGTGCCCTAGCCCTATAAGCCCTAATTGAAAACCCCGACACCCTAGACCCCAGCCCCTAAGCCCCAGAAAAGCTCCGTCTCAGAAGATCGCAGGTCTGTTCGAATGCAGCCCGTGCCTTCCCGGCTACGAGGCACCGGACGAGGGCATGGAGGCTTGCAACAGGCGGGCTTTAGGGGTTACGGTTTCAGAAAGAAGAGGGACCTACACTGTAGGATCTGCATGATAGATACTGCAAAACGGGATCTTGAATTTGCAGACCCTCAGCCCTATAAACCCTAGATCCTACACCCGTAACCCTAAACCATCCTGAACCCGAATTTAAGACAGCCCTCAGGTGTGAGATCGGTTGGTACTCTGCCTTTTCTGGGCAAGCGCGCTGCTCCCCTTGTGGAAGGGGCCAGATTACCCGGGAAAGCGGGGCGGTGAATTCGTCAGAGTGCCTCTGCGGTTCAGGCTCCTTCATGTGCGGCGAGACTCTTAGTTCCCCAATACCCAACATTTAAACTTTTCGGGTTCTTATAATCTAGTAGTAGTCTGAAACTTTAACCTTTTTGTCCTTGGCTTATAGGGGAAGTAAGGACTCAGAGCTGTGAAAGCTGTTTTGTGCCAAGAAGGCCTGGGCCCACCTGTGCAACTTGCCGGCTTTTGGACAAAGGACTCTTCTATGGGCTGTGAGTTTTCCGTTCTTCGCTGTCGCAATGCGAGAGAGTGTCCCCAAGCAGCACTTGGCACCTGCGCCGACGGAAGAGGAGGAATTGCTTGCAATAACTGCAAAGCAAGGCATTATCCAAGGGAGAATGGTACCTGCCTACCCTGCGGTGAGACAGACGCCGTGCCCGGAGTCATAGCCTTCATTGCAATTCCGATTGCCTTGCTGCTCCTGAACATGTTGAAAGTCGAGCCGAGCCAGGTCAGCACCATGGCTGCAACTTCAGGGTTTAGGGTTTAGGGTTTAGGGTTTAGGGCACAGCAACAACCTTAGACTGACATCAGGCTCCTTAGGCCTGAAACAGGCTCTTGGTTTGCGAAGGCTGGGATCGCGCAAAGGCTGCTGAACATCCTTGCTGTGAGAAGTACTTTATGCTGTTTTTTTTGTTTGGGGCTGGGTAGGTCACCTCTAGCTTTTTGTTGGGTATGTATGTATATCTATATATACATATATATATATATATGTATGCATGTTCTTACCTTACCATAATGCTCGTTTAGCATTTTTTTTAGCCGGGGTCCTCAGTTCCCCAAGTTGATCGCTGTTGAGCAGAAACAGGTTTCAACTTGCTGACCGCAGCGGCAGTGTCGAGCCAGTTGCTTGTGGCGATTCAAACCCTCGGCTCCTTACCAGTTGAATAAGCAGCCTTTGACTTTCTGAGGGGGTGGCATCATCCCTATGTTTAGTTCTGGATAACCCCATATAATACAACCTGTACCTATGCAATCCCTACACCTTCCCACACCCTAAACCCTAAACCCTAAACCCGAAACCCGAAACCCGAAACCCTAAACCCGAAACCCTAAATCCCAAGCAAGGCTCCATTCAGCAGCTGTCCATTGAGTGGCAGCAGCCTGTTCTTCAACTCTTGGAGTTGACGAAGCTTCTAACGTTTGACTTGGATTCTGAGCTGCGGGTTAGGGTTTAGGTGTAGGGTTTAGGGTTTAGGGTTTAGGGTTTAGGGTTTAGGGTTTAGAGGGAATATAGGGGCCTTGCTAAGTAGAATAGGGCTTTGGGGTATTATATACTTTAGATATAATAAGGAACCCCAAAGCCCTGATCGAATTTGTAAGGCCCCTACATTAACTTCTTCGTCTTTTGGGGTTTGTACTGCCCTAGCATAATTGAAAGGTTAAGCTTTTGGGGGTGAGGGAACTCAGCAAATAAGGACTTCATCCGTATCACGTGCATCTACGGAACGGATAGCCCCGTGCTGAAGTTTGCAAGCCGACTGCTTGCTTGCCCTTTGGCTTGTGCCTGCCTTCTTTTCAGCTGGTGTTTGTCAAAGATGCTGGGACGCCCGAAGCCGCTGGACACAGTGCTGCTTGGTTCCCCAGTAGTACCCTGTTGCCCTTTTTCTTTTTGGGTTCCCTTAAGAAAACCAAATAGTAGGAAAAAGGGTACCCTTATTATTTGGGAGTTTCCGACAATTAGGGTACCTTATTTTGGGGTCCTTATAATAAGGATCCTATTATCTAGGGTACTATAGTAGGGTCCCCTATTTTGGGAAACCCCCATTTAGGGGCTACTGGGGAACCTAGGCTGAACCTCTGTGGCCTCTTGATCTTCGCCTTCTACTTGTCGATCGCTAGCTCCCTGGTAGAAAAGCAGGGTTTAGGGTTTAGGGTTTAGGGTTTAGGGTTTAGGGGATACGGGCCTTAATAATTAGAATAGGGTTCTGCGGCCCATTATACTATAAGTCTCTGAATTAGGGTCCCTTTTAGGCGTACTACTTGGGGACCTAAAGAGGGACCCTAATTTAGAAAACTATCCATGTAACCCGAACAGGTTAACCAAACCCCAAGCCCGATAACCTAAACTCTAGGAAACGGAACGCGTGAGGTTCCCTTTCAATGTGCTCCAAATCCAGATCAGACGGCCTCGATGGTCTCCGATCCAGGCATTGCTTGTTGCCTCTCTGAATATGACAGGCTTCTTATCAAGGCTTTAGAGGGCTACAAAAGGGTTTAGAGTTCATATGTAGACATATTTAAACATCTATATATATATATATATACATACACATGAATTCTCCTGCGTCATGTATGGAAGAATGCCCTGACCCCAAGCAAACCCTCTCAACCTTAAACCCCGAAACCTTGCACCCTGAACCAAGCAACTCCTAAACTCCTCCGCCCTAAACCCTAAACCCTAAACCCTAGACCCTAAACCGGAAACCCGAAACCCGAAACCCTAAACCCTAAACTCTAAACCCCAAACCCCAAAGCACTGTTTACAAAACACCGAAGCCTTAAACCCCAAACGAACCTTGAAAGTAAGGTTACAGCTCTGACGAGCACGCAGCTCTTGTTGCTTTAGCAGTGTGTGGACTGCTCAGCCAACCTCTTGCGCCTTGGAGGGACATGTTCCTCTGAGCCCTAAACCCTAGGGTGCTGGGTTTTGGGGTTTAGGGTTTAGGGTGTTAGGGTGCTAGGGTTTAGGTCCCGTTTAGCTAAAGTCTACAGTTTACAGAAGAGATCTAAGAGCTAGGCTTAAGGACGCATGTTGCTAAGCCTTGCTTTCCGAAGATCCAGACCACGAGGCATTCCTGGCCGTGGCTACCTATGCAACCGTCATGTACCCGTGGCTGGGCCCCAGAATCCTGTTTCTTAGGCTTAGTGTCATTCAAATACATTAACATCTAAGTGTGTGTATGCATGTATGTCTATATACACGTTTGTGCATACATATATATATATACACAGACACACTTTTTCCTGCATGCATGCATATGCTTGTTTAAATGCAGTTTCATGTTTGCAGGTATACACGCACAAAGACGTACATATGTATATGTATACCTATCTATCTGTCTATCTATCTATCTATCTATCTACCTACCTACCTACCTACCTATCTATATATCTATCTATCCATCCATCTATCTGTCTCTCTATCTACCTATCTCATCTTACCTTAGCTTATCTTAGATTACGTTATCTTAAATATCTACCTATCTCTCTCTCTCTCTCTGTGTCTCTATTTATCTATCTATCTATTTATCTACCTACCTACCTACCTACCTACCTACCTACCTACCTATCTATCTGTACATGCATACATGCATACACATACATACACGTATATATGCATGTGTCCATATATGCGTATGTACAGATAATTACTGAGATGTGTATTTGTAACTCCTCTTTCGTTTTGCATAGGTTTCTATGAGCCACCACATTCGAAACCTTGCGCCCAGAGCCCCACATCCTGAACCCCAGGCCCTGTTCCCCCTTCCCGTGGTGCAAGGAACTGGTAGTTTACGTTAAACCAGGTAGGCAGTTTGGCACTAGAACCCTGAACCCTAAACCCCAAACCCTAAACCCTCTAAGCCCGAAACCCTGGACCCTAAACCCTCAGCCCTAAACCCTCAACCCTCTTCCCTAAACCCCAAAAAACCCTAAACCCCCCCTTAAACCGAATCGTGAGATTCCCAGGTGGCGGGTCGGAAGTGGCCGGGGGCTTCGCTTGATGAACCGGTATCGCTTCTTGTTCCACCGGTTCAAACCGGACTCTCAGCCAGAATTACCTATACTATTTTGAGGGGTTCCTTATTGAAATTATAGGATAAAGGCCCCCCAAACCCTATTCTGATTATTCAGGCCCGTACATTGCGCTTTGAGCACCTGGGTGTAAGGGCTACCATTCAGGAAAAGGGTTGTAGAGTTGTAGGGTGTGCAGACTGACATCTATATGAGAGTGTTTTTCAGCCCCTTTCGCTTTGAGGTTTCCTTGGGACTAAGGTTTAGAGTTTATGGTTTAGGGTTTAGGGTTCCAGCGCCTCACCAACGCAAGGAGAGGTATAAACACGGCCTCTTTCTCCTCTACCGAAACAGCCTCCTGTCGGCAAGATCGCACCGAGCCTTGCAAAGGCAAAGAGCTCTCAAGATGTGGGAGTTTCCGAAAATTAGGGTACCTTACTTTGGGGTCCTTTTTATCAGGATCCTACCATTTGGGGTGCTATATTAGGGTCCCTATATTTGCAAACCCCCATGTAGGCTTTACATTTCCGAAGGCGTGCTTGGGAGAAGATTGGCACTCCATGCCTCTATAAGCCTGCAATGAGACCTTCGAGGTTCCACGCAACGCGATGCTCTCAACTCTTCCAGAAAACCCTAAACCCTAAACCCTAAACCCTAAACCCTAAACCCTAACCCCCTAAACAAGGGACTCAAGAGTCCCACCAGAGCCGAAGAGCCTAAGCCCTAAGCCCTGAACCCTCAACTCTTAAACCCCCCAAGCTTTGTCTAAAGGTATCGTGGCCCTCTTACCCGTCGCTGTGGACGTGCCAGAGATCCAGGTGCAAAGTTGGGTCGTTGTTGACTCTCTGCTTTTTTTGTTTACGCATCGGGATTGTGAGGTACTTCGCGTTCAGGCTGGAATAGCATTATGGCATTACCCTCACCCTAAACCGACATTTTTCGGAACTTCCTTGTTATGAACTCCTTATTACAAGTCCTGTCAACGGTAGGTTCTTTGGGGTTCAACCCTAAACCCTAAACCCTAAACCCTAAACCCTAAACTCTTTGGGGTTCAGGTTTAGGCTTTAGGGTTTAGGGCTTGAAGGTGCCTGGCGGTGGCGTATCTGGGCCCTGAGGTTTCGGAGCCCTCGGGGCCGTTCTTTCAGGGTTGAAGGTTTAGGGTTTAGGGTTTAGGGTTTAGGGTTTAGGGTTTAGGGGGAGAGAATTGGGGCTCCCGGCTGGAGTGCTGTTGAAGACCTCCCTTACGCTGGGCTTCTCAACAAGAATTGGGATACTATAATAGAGACTGAGTATACTGTAACATTATATACTAGACTAGACTGACTAGACTGGAATAGTATGTATAAATTTTTCCGGGAACTATAGTATACTGTGATATTATACTACACTAGAAAATCCCTCAACCCTAAACCCTAAACTCCTGGGAACCCAAAGCTCCTCCAAGAGCCTGGTCGACAGTTGCAGGACGATGAGATCATGTCGGGTAGCATAAACATGTCGGGCAGTTCTCTAAATTAGGGTCCCTTTTAGGGCCCTTTTGAAAGGGTGCCGTACTATTTCGGGGATCTGAAAAGGGACCCTCAGTTGGACAACTACCCATGTGTACTCGCAGTTATGGCAAGAAACACACCCATGAACCCTAAACCCTAAACCCTAAACCCTAAACCCTAAACCCTAAACCCCATGATTCGGCCCCCCTCACCCCCGCAGTCTCTCGTCAGGAGCCTAAACGACATCCGAATCCTGCACCCTAAACCCCTAGAAGCGTATTTATCGAAAAGCCCGTCAGCAATGTTAATAGAGGGGCCTAAATAATTTCCCATACTATCTTGGAGGTTCCTTATTGTAAATATAGTATCATATGCCCCAAGACCCTATTCGAACTCTTAAGGCCCCTACAATACAATTAAGGCTTAGGGTCAGAAGGCTTTAAAGTCTAGGACAGTTTCAGGTGGGTAGTTACCGTTATAGGAGCCTTATAGAAGGTCTATATACCCTATGCAAGCCTTATAGAAGCCCTATATACCCTAAACTCCCCACCTGTAGTTTCCTTTAATAAAGGAGCCTCGTGAGGTGCCGTATAGCCCTAAACCTCAAACCCTAAACCTTGAGCCCTCAACACTAAACCCCAAGCCCGTGAGGTGCCGGTCATGGGCACCATCCTCCTTGCCAGCTTAGCGCTGCAAGCCCGGACGTTTCCCTGGCGCACGGAGCAGGCGAACCACGTGGACCTGGCATTGACGGGGCTGTTGATTATTGTGCGACTGGGCACGGGTGTAAAGGAAATTTTGAAATCTAAAGGCGGCTAAGATGGCGTGGTAAGAAGAGTGGGTGATGCGCTTTAGTTCATAGAGAACCTTTATGCGGGGCAAGGCCTGCTTTACGGTCCTTACTGGGGGTATTACGAAGGGTCTTTATGACTTTTGACTAGTTTCTGAGCAAGAGCCCAGGCTACTGGGCGCTGCGCCCCTCCTGAAGCTCAACGAAACAGAGTCCTCGCTTTCGCTGGGCATTTTCTTATGCATACCCGTGGTGATGATCCTGGTGGTAGCCTTGCTGGGAATTCTGCGAGCAATCGTAAATCATTTTCGGAAGCGGTGTCTCTACGGCATCTTTTTATGCCACCACAAGGCAGGCAGAGATGTCAGATCTTTATTTCTTCCTTTCCTGCCGACTTCTTCATGTCAGGTTCGCAGTAGGCTTCGGTTTGGGATGTCGCCCAAATAGACCCCCCCCCCCCCTTTGTCCGAAGCCCAGCCTGGCAAGGGTGGCGCTGGAAGCCTTTGTCGGCTGATGAAGCTCTTGATTGCACGACACAGCCCGATAAGGGTCTTCTTGGATTGTGACCAGCTGGAAAACTTAGACTACCTCTTTGACATCGTGCGCACCGAAACAAAGAGCGTGGTGGTCGTCCTAACGACGAAGCTCCTTTCACGATCTTGGTGTGCTGATCAGTGACCCCAAAGGCTGCACTGCCTCAAATATTAAATGCAAAAACCCCCAAGTCCTTTTTAACCATGATTTCCTGAAACTTCCGGTCTTTGGGCGTTGGCCTAAACCCTGCCTGGTCTCTTCAATCTAAGTAGGTGGTCTGTTGCAGCGTAGGCTTGAGGTCTCCGAGTTTCCCTTGGCACTTAACCCCACCATCCTCTCTTGGGGTTTAGGGTTTAGGGTTTACGGGCATGCACTTGAGCCGTGGCACTGTAACACACAAGTCATGTCTTTCAGCAGGAGGAGGAGTACCCTGTGCAGCAGAAGAAGTAGTAGCAGCAGCAGTAGTAGTAGTAGTCGTCGTGGTGGTGGTGGTAGTAGTAGTCGTGGTAGTACTAGTAGTACTAGTAGCGGTATTGGTAGTGCTGGTAGTGGCTGCAATTTGGGACTACCTTGCTTGCAACAGTGAGTGTTTCACGTGCGGGTGTCGGTTTGGAGGTTGTGCAAGTATGTGTGACACTTGTTCTCAGCAGTTTTTTTCCTTGGTGTCTGAGTGACTTAGGTGCGCCGGTGAAATCACCACAGCATGGAAAAGCAACATCACGACGGTGCCGTTGCAATGCGACGGTTTCAAATTGCTCGACGAGGAGGCATTGAAGCTTATTCCGACAATGTGGACACCGCAGCAAAAACAGGTCCTTGCAAACTACGGGGTGGCATTGGGCGATGTCATGTCTGCGTACGTCTGGTTGCAGCATAACCTGCCACATCTGCAGATGCCTCGCTCTGGACCGGCTCAGTTCTCATCTTCTGCAGTAGCTGCTGTAGCCCGGAGATCGTTGTAAGTAGTGGCAATGATACCGTCAGCAACCGGAACAATTCTCCAGACTCTTCATTTTTGCCATGACCTGCAGCATGCTCCAAGGTCTGGCCGCGTGAGGAGGTGGTGCGGGAAATACTTGGTCGTTGCGGAGTCCTCTCTATCGGAAGAAGGAGCTTGTTGCCATTTTGGTCGCTGTGTTGTTCTGGTGAACGCCACTTAATACTGCTCCGGCAGTTGCTGCACTTCGAGTGCTGCCTCTGCTACATTACCGCGGTGACGGCAAGCTTCCAACTACTGCTGCTGATGCTACTGCTACTGCTACTGCTGCCTTTGCTACTACTAGCACTGCTCTTGCTGCTGATGCAGTTGCTACCACCGTCATCAGTTGGATTCCATTTTCATCAAGGGCTTCATAATGTAAGCGGTCTACGACATGATAATGATGATATTTGCTGTTGCTGTGTGTTCCTGCGGTTGTTGGGAGTGCTGTTACTTCTTAATTGTGGCTGCTGTTGCTGCAAGCTGTTTCTGTGACTGTTTTCTGTTGCTCTTGCTCCTGCTGCTGCTGCTGCCTTCGCCGCTGGTGCTTTTTCTTGCTGTTTGACCTGGCTCGTATAGCTTTAGGCTTTAGATGCCACCGTTTCATTATTTCTTCCGCTCTGCAGTTGTTGCCGTGAGCCGTATAGTATTGTGATTTTTGTTAGTATGCCAGGCACGACCTCTATGCTTTCTTTCGCTGCAAACCTCAACCCTTGACCACCTGCCTTCGGACGGTCTCTTGCGCCTCCCAGCTTCTAGCCAAACAAGGATTGCTTCTTCCCGACTGGCATGATCCTCTCTGACGCTTCGGAGATCTGGCTTGCAAGAGCTTGCAAGTCTGAGAACAGATATCTATTTCTTGAATTCTGAATGGTATGGTTGATCCGGCAGGCTCCTTAAAAGCAAAGCATACTACACAAACCTCCTTCCCAAGGGCTAACAAAGCGTCTAACAGTCGGCAGCTCGTTGTGGTTCGTAGCTGACAATTATATGTTGTAAAATGTATTGGGGAGTTAGTAGCTAGGACCGCTTTCGTCGTTCGCAGTTCGCATCTCTTCAGCATCGGTTGGTCAGTAGTGACTGGTTTGTGGTTAGCCGGTGAGACTTAGTAACTTAGTAAGTAGATCGCCTTTAACTGCTCGTAGTGGATAGTTCCTGGTTGTTACTGACGACCCTTCCAGGCGTGAGAGCATAGTAGCCACAGCATGGTGCGCCACAGCTCGTACTGGTAGTCAGCAGCTAGTACCCAGTAGCTGTTTGCAATAGTTCGTAGCATGTTGTTTGCTGTTATCGTTTCTGGTCGCATTCGTCGTCGTATCAGTAGCAGTAGCAGTAGCAGTAGCAATAGTAGTAGCAGCAGCAGCAGCAGCAGCAGCAGCAGCAGTAGTAGTAGTAGTAGTAGTAGCAGTAGTAGTAGTAGTAGCAGTAGTGGTAGTAGCAGCAGTAGTAGTAGTAGTAGTAGTAGTAGCAGCAGTAGTA